TGAGGACAACAAGAGGGAGAACAAGTGTGAGAACACTCAAGGAAGGGTGCAACTCTGTCCCATTGTTAGTAGTATACCCGAAGGCAAGACGTACCACGGTAGTCTCCAAGAAGAGATCGGCCAGGGGCTTGCTTTGATGGCGGGCTTTGGACCCATTCTTTCCATCGTTGAGGAATGCCTTGAGACGGCCACGTTTGCTGTGCATACTCGAGTTCATGGCCTGTTGTGACTCGTCATTGTCGTTCATGAGCCGCTCTCGGATGTTGTCAGGGAAGAGGGAAGAGACAATCGCGTTGGATTGCGCTGCCTTGGAGACGAGATTTTCATTGCGGTGTTGGACGGCCAAGTCGTAGACCAAAAAGGTAACGGCCACAGAAACAAAGACTACCGCCAAGATGATAGCAAAGCGCTGGGGGGTTCCCGTGTGGTATGTGTCTTCAAACTTGGAGCTGGGGTAAATGTCCTGGTGGGAGAAGCAGTAAAAGGAATGGTGAGAAAGACTGTTTGTCGTGAAGCGTCCATCGAGGGTTCCAAACGTAAGTATGTATGTATTTACCATTCGATAGAGTGTATTGCGGGGAGTGGTCCTGTATTCCGGGTTGGTGTGAAGCGCCAAGTCGACAAACACGCCCATGTCCGTGTACTGCTCCTCATGCATATCTCCCTCACCAAGATAGATTGCATCGTTTCCAATAATCTCATAGGTGAATGTCTGATTCATGTTCTTGCTAATGATGCAATGGATTCCTTGGACACCTTCGGGCAACAAGTTGAGCAGTGCGACATCCAATGCCAGTGCCGCCACAACAATGCCGACAATTTCCGAATCTGCATTCAATGGATCGCGGTGAATCGGGTGAACGGCAAACGTGTGGGGATGCTCGGGAGTCGAATCCAAGAGGTCGCTGTGCTTGGCCGCGTGTTCGGCTTTGGTCATGATGAGATCGACACTGCGGTAGGGTGTAATCATGGTAAAGGTGGTCTCATACTTGAGCGCCACACTGGCATCAATGGCAAACGCCAAGGGCGGGATATGATGAACGTTCCAATTGACAATGCCATAGGTCGCCGGTGGAGGAGAGAACTGTCCCGTGGACGGCCAGTATTCGTCGCGGTCATCGTCTGGGAGGTAGCCTTGGGGAGAGTTTTTGGAGATGAATGGTTTGTAGACACTGGTATCATTGTTCAAGCGGCGAAAGTCTCCGTTCTGCATGAGATGAGCCGATTGAATGATCTGCTGGTAGTTTTTCGTGGTGTAGTTGGTGAACTTGTCCTTGTCCTTGGCGTAGACGCGGGGGTAGATGCAGTAGAACTGCCTTGGACTGCACGAGGGCATCCCTTGCATAGACCTCCCAAAGAGGGATGGTAACCGTGGGCCAGGAGAGGTTGTAGGTCGACGCCTGACCAGAAACCAAGTGAGCCAGGCCTCGGATCGAGTCACGAAAGTTCTTTTGCTGGTCAATGGCAGCATCACCCACCGTACGAGAGAACTTGGTGAACTGAGTTGCAAAGCAGAGCAAAGCAAAAGCAGATGAGGTCAGGTCACAGTGATCATCATGCTCAGAGGGGCACTACGAGAGATACCGGTACACTTGACTTGACTTACCGCGGTTTCAAAGTTTTTGGACTCTTCGCCAATGAGGACCAAGTAGGTGGTCAGCGTGACGCCCAGGGCAGTCAATAGCAACGCCAAAGTCATGGCAACTCGCCACAACTGGACACGCCGTGTGTCCTTGGCAGACATTTTGTATACCTCCTTCTTCTCATCGCGGGCTGGCGGGGGATTGAACGTGGTGGTGGATGAGAACTCATTGTCAAAGTCCGAAAAGACAACAGAGTCGCCATCCTCCAATATCTCGTCCTCTAGATTCTGAGAAAGATCGTTGGTTGCGTCCTCCAAAGATCCCATGGTGTTGGTTCAGTTGCTGAAGTTGGTTGGTTAGTTACTTGGAGAGGGGATGATGTGTGGGAAGATAGTCTGAGCAGCTGCCGCACGAATTGCACGAATAAGATGTCTGTTCTGTCTGTTCTTGGGATTGGCAACAGAAGGACTTGGGTCAGAGTTTGGAGAATTGGTGCTATGAGCTAGCTAGAGTAACGATGAGGGTCTCCAAAGTCTTGGGTGTGTGCAATATTATGGCTTGTGCTCTCTGATACCGCAGCCAGCCAGTGTTGTGTTGTAGTTTCCTGTCTTTTACTAGTACCGCCGGAGTTTGCTTGCTCCCAAAAAAAGAATTGTGAGCCTGGACGGAGGCGGCAAATCTGATACGCTACTGTAGCAAGAAATGACTTAGAAATGAATAGACTATTAGTCTAATGGTGGACCACGATTTCACAGTTCACAGTTGAAAGAACGCAGTGGATAGTGGAAGTGGATATGGCATAGTGGATTCCAACCCTCTAATTCCTGAACAAAAGGGCTTATTAGTGACCTCAATTCTTACCGTACGAGTGCACTGTAGCATGTCTATGTACTAGTATTTATGTACGTCAGTAGCGGTTGCGTGTTACATTCACTTTCTGAATTCTCGACAAAACGGCTTATTAGTTAGTTGCTTCATAATAATATTCTCAGTGGTTACGGGGGCTTTACGCCTATTTCATTATAAGTATCGAGAAAATAGAAATAAATGCGAAATGCGAGCTCCTTGAATGAGAGACGACAGCAACGACATGTCCTGGCTTCTTAGTTGCCTGATCTATCATCCCAAGGTACTCCTCTGATATTAAGATTCTATTCATGCCAAGAAAGACAAGGTGCGACACACATGCCCGTACATTTAGCTTCTGGTTATGCACCGGGATCGAGAGTAGATTCCCAATCAAGCTTACAACACTTTGTTGAAATTATTCAATCGAATTTCTTCAGCGCATCAGAAACAAATGGTTAACAAATTGTACCATTGCCAGCAGAAAAATATTCCTGTTGCCATGAACCTACAGACGCGGTTTTTCCCATTCCGCTTACACACCCGGTACCAGGTACGGTATGCAGATAAAGACTACATATCAGTTCAAAAACTCCATAAAATTCTGTTTGTTTCAAAGGAGTCATACGGTATTGTAGAATGGAATGATGATCAATCATAACTTATTATTTGCTACATGTACAGTATTTCTTGACCATACCAGTACGGTACCGATATCATGCCAAGGTGCCAAGAGGAGTGGAGCCTACTGGTACAGGTACCTGGTATGCATACATGTTTGGTACCGATACCGGTGAGCTGTTGATTTCTAATATCCAAGGGTTTGCAGCTCTTCAGCACTGTCCAAACATTGGATTTTGATGCACATTTACCCCTGGACTTTCAAAAAGGATTTAAAGTCCGAATCTAAATGACTCCTTTGGAACTTCAATTTCGATCATGACTAGATCTATGACTTTATGAATGCCATGAGCGCAAGGCTCATTAATGCTTAATCCTCCCCCACGGCCATTTTGAATCAGCTTTGAAGCTTGAATTGTCAAACTGTACCGGTGTCAAAGCTGCACGAATGAATCAGTTAAAGCTTTATGTTGATCGCTTTTTTAGCCTTCTCATTCGCGATGCCACATACCACATACCACATACCACATACCGATGACAGCAATGCATTAATTAAGCCTTTACTATGATCGTCATCATGAACACCTTTTGTGAACTGAACGAGTGTCATTTTCTGGGAAGAAACCAGAACAGACAGCAAAACAAAACGGGAAATGAGGGACCCTGGCAGTTGTTTCAATGGAAAAACATGGGAGAAGGGGGCTTTTACACTAGCTTTGGGAGTCAGACAGTCACACATCCGATAGCTTCCCTTTGGAGAACCCCCTATCTTCTTATTTAGTATTTGTTTCTAGAGGTACATGTAGTAGAGAGGCATCCCCATCTAATTCAGTAGGCATGTAGAAGGAGCAGCATTGGTAAAGCCAGATTGCTGCCAATCTTGATAAAGCCCTACCTAGAGAGATCCAAACGCAGTACTAGTATCTTCCCTTGTCTCTTCTTATTGTCTTATTGGACCATACTCAAGAGAGTTACAATTTTTTATTAAAGCGTTTGAGTCCTCTGCTTTCCTTTTCGCAATGGATGGTGGTACTTATCATAGTCTAATCCTTAATCCTTAATCGTTCCTGGCCAGTATCCAGAATAATCCAGATCACATGTCCCATGGGGTTGGCAGGGCAATGGCGACACCACAGCTTGTTCTATTCACTCGATTAAAATTTGTTCATTGGTTTATGAGAGCAGAATCCACGCTTTATGGGACGTTTCACTGTTAGCCATTGCCACTCCCGCCTTTGCCGTTTGGGCAGGTCAACCAAGTCTTAGTTTGTTTGCTCGTTCACTGTTCTCCATTGTGCTCTATTGCAATATTATGGAACTGCATTATGGTGGAACTCCATTATTGCAGAACGCAGCCAGCAAAGCCCAGCCAAGTCTTCTCGGCTCGTTTGCGTAATAGTGTCCGTGTGACCAGTTGCTTTTGACATTGACACGCAGGGCCATTCTGGCGCATTCCCCTCAACTGAAACGTTGCAGAACGCCAAGCAAATGGGAAGAGCTACACTGCAGCATGCTCTGAAGTGGAATAACAAGGCAGCTGCCATGGACGATGCCCACAGTACGGGTACGATGCGCCATGCGAGAACAACGACGTCACCCTCAATTGATTCTACTGAGAGCAGCAACCAACAAGTACATGTAATGCTACTGACTGACTAGATTCAATGATTAGCCCTTGGGTAACTATTTTGGGGCTCCATACTCTTCTGAAGCGGACATGCATTCACAGACGAACCAAGCAAGGGTCGTCTCAATTGATGCTCTTCTCATTTGCAACTCTACAGTGGAACAACCCAGACACCGCCTTTGCACCTTTTGCCGGAAAGAGGAGAAGGCCCACTGCAAAAAGTACCGACCCACAAGAAGCCGCACCAAAAAAAGTTTCCAAGGCATAGCATGGGAGAGACACCAGCAACACCAGGATCACGAGGGGCCACGAAGCAAAAGCATACGCATCCCCTACAGAGGCAAGTTTTTCGATCAGAGCTCCAAACCAAGCCTGGCCCTTCTCTGTGCGATAATTGCACAACTTTGGCGAGACACCCATGCAAAGGAGACGGATTGGGGCAAGAGATATATGCTGAAGTTGGTCTTCCGAAAGGGGAATATGCACTCCTTTGCTTGTAGTGATCGCACCGCTGTCATTGCTCAAACCAATAGTTATGTAATTGGAAGCTGCAACACCATTCACCATGATGGTTCCGGATGGTGTGAGTGGAGCATAGAGTCCATCGTCCCGAGTAACAGTCTGGATCTTCGTGATAGCTGTCTCCTTGTCAACCCCATCAAGCAAGTCGCCGACTTGTAGGGAAACTGCAGGCACTGGGTGAACTCTACCTTTCACAAAGATTAGGTGATTCTTGGTGACCTCAAGAGGTCCTTGTCCATCCTTGGTGTAAACTTGGAGAAAGTCCTCTTTCTTGGTATAGGGCAAATGGGCAAATGCATAGACAGGCTCATACACACCCTGCTTTGTCAAGACTTGATCACCAACCCTAAGATCCATCATTTTTATTTCACCCTTTGCCAACACTTGGACGCTAGTAATGCCAGAAAAACAATCCCCATCGTCGACCCACTGGCAATATTTCTGGTCTTTACACACTTCGTCGGCATCACAATCATCGCCACTTTGGCATTCCCTCGTCAGGCACTTGTGAGATGAATCGTTACAATAATCGCTTTCCGAGCATTCCGAATCTGCTTTGCATTCCTTTTTCTTGCACTGATGGAGGTGATCGCACCACTCTCCGTCTGCGCAGTCTCCATCCTCCACACACACATAGCATTTGTAATTTGAAGCACACACCAATCCATCCGGGCAAGCCACACTCGAGTCATCTACACCACATTCTGGTATGACACAAACCTCATATGCGTTGCATTCCAGACCTTTCTTGCACAACGGCCACCTTGGCCATTGTTGACAATACTCTCCTTCTCCAGCAGTCCTCGCGTCGAGACATTCACCACTGCCATCCGGGTGAACGTGAAAACAGTATTCGTACTCCCAGTTCTCACAAGGAGAAGTATAGATATATGTCTTTTCCTCCTCTCTGCAACTGCCAATCATGTCTTCATCCAGCCTTCGGCGTGCTTGGTTACCATCAGCTGCGGGAAGACCAAGTAGCTCATCATCCGCACCCTTTAGTTCATCAAGCACTTTTAATACTTGCATGTAGGTTTCCTCAATGGTCTTGCTTAATATACCAATCTCTTTGCCATCGCTTTTGCCTGCCAACACAACCAATTCTACCTTTCTCACATTTGTTAAGGTCTTCATCAGAAGATCAAAGAGTCCTTCAAGGTCTTCTTCGAGCTTTGAGATCTTCTCGATATCTTTCGAATCTGTTTCCGCAGCTTTCATGTGGCCAAGACGTTTTACAAGCTCGCTTTCATGGTAGTTGATCGAGGTTGCAGCCGCATCCAGAATACGCAGAAACTCGCCATTTGGTGCGTCTCCATTGCTTTGATAGACTCCCACTTCAGCGGCTTTGGCCGTGAGGTTCAGCAAGTGATCCATTCCTGTGGCCATTTCATCATGCAATTGAGCTGCGATGTTCGCGGACATGCCATCAGCTGCTTCCAGTTTCCTGTGGGTATTGGGGGGGATCGCACGTCGCAACTCCTCCAACCGGGCTCGAACCAGGTACTTTCCACCCGTCTCAACAACTTCGGTAGGAAGAGTTTCCAAAAGCGCTCTTCGTAGACTGGAAAAGCGCTCGGAAGCGCAACTGCATTTTGCTGCTAGGAGGAGAAGAAGCACTTGGCTCACCTTGAAAAGCCGCATTGGGGCAAAAAGGATCTTCATGATGGATATGAAAGGGGCTCTTGGCAGACTGGTTGAAGCACGAAAATGTAACTGGTGCTTGTTGTGGAAATTTGTGAGTGGAGATTTTCACAGATTTTCACAGAGCTCTAGTACCGTAGACTGTACGTACCATATGGGGTGTCCGCATTGGAATAGCAACACGAATAGAAGATACACACATAAGATGTCGTACCCTTTAACTAAATGATTCTCACGTTAAACAAGCTAGATTTAAAGTCAAGACGGTTTGGAGCTCATGCCCGCTATTAAAACGTCGTGTTAACGTTTTTGCGCCTCCAACGCACACATTCGAGGCAGCCGGGTCGGTTGGCTCCACTAATTCCGACAGTTGCCTCCGCATCGATCGATCAAGCGTAATTACGCTGGATCGATTGATTCATGATGGCTGATCAGTCAATTCCAAGGGCCAACCATGTCATTGCCTTCAGACAACTCTATATCATGTTGCCTCTTGTCCTTTGAACTCGCTCTAGACGCAGACATCAGCGTAAAGACACTAACCATGATTCACTCTTCTGAATTTCCAAATTGGGGGTTCCTACTCATGAAAACTTCTGACAACGGATCTTTCATTTGAATGATGGCCACCATAGTTGGTTGCACTGTCGAGATTACTGCTTTGGCTCACTGTTGTTACGATGTCGTATCATCACCCAAATCACCAGCGGCCGCCATTGATGCAGCTGCAGCTGCAACCTCAGCAGCAGCCGGTGATTCCGGTGGTGCCGGTGGTGCCGAGGAAGCGACAATCATCAAAACGAAAGACACGCACAAATGAGGAGTGGAGAGAGGATTTGAAACAGATCTATGGGTCCATTCTCCGGAGTCGGCTGGATGGAAATATGGGTGCTACGCTCCGCAGCTACTGCTATGGAACTGTGGGGATGGTACCCCAGTACACAAGAATCTCAGCTGTTTGGAAAGAGCTTGGTTTGGAAGAATTCCTTTCCAGAGAAGTGCCTCCCGTGAACCGTGCTCTGATTGAACGGATTGATGCCAAGTTTCCAGTTGCAATTATTGAGCAACACGAAGGCTATGACAATGAGAAAGTGGGCCGTGATCGAAGACACAGCAAGAAGAATGAAAAGAGAACAAGTGCAGCATGGCGCAAATTGCTTTCCGAAGTCTATCATTTTCTCTACGGGGCAAAGACCTCCGATGTGGCTCGATCAGAAACAGTCCGATCATACTGCCGAGATGTTCTCAAATCTGAGCAGCAATATCGGAGAATAATTGACTTCTGGACCAAGCTTAGGCTTGACAAAGATCTTGAGAATGGAGTGCTTCCGACAGATTCTAGTCTGAAGGAAAAGCTGGCAACTCAGTTTCTGGACGTCCAGCTACTATCAAGGGATCTCCGGCCTTCATCGAATTCTTACTTCGACAACAACGAAGAAGATGCCTTGCGTGAATTTGTTGCAGCTTGTGCGAGAACAGGGTTTCCAGTGGAGAAAACAACCCTCAAAGAAGCAGCAGATGCATTTCTAGAAGCAGATGGAATTGGTGCTGGTATCAACAGTATTGGAGGCATTAGTGATGACACTGTTTCACGTATTTACAAAGAGGGTCGTATCAAAGCAAAGACCAATGCAAATCCCATCGATCCAAAGCGAGCCTCTCAGGCCGATCCACAAGTTTTGAATTGTCTCTACCATCAAGCGGACGCCTGGGTGAAGATGGCGCATGAAATCAATCCGGACGTGTGGCCTGAATGCCGCTACCCAGATATACCACCGCATCGCATCTATAACACAGATGAGCAGGGACCGAATCCAACTCAGCTTAGAAATCCTGTTCTCATACCCGAAGATATGATATTGGGAAGGTCTCGACTTTTTCAGAATACGAGAGAGGGCGATGGCAAAATGAGCTTTCACTACAGTATCGCCAATGTTGTTCGAGCAGATGGCGCCCAATACCATCCTTTCGAGTCAGTGGAGGGAGCGCCTGCTCCATACGTCCTCATTTCAGATGCTTCTAGCCAAAGTGTCCTCGATACAATGGAGAAAACAGATCGCGACAATCATTTAGCCAACCAAACAGAGTCGGATGAAATTCAACTCAATCCAACTGTTCTCGAGGGATGGTTCGATGACTACGAAGTTGGGAAGAACAACGCAAAAGTTAACAAGTTTGGTTTCCAAGTGAGAACAACGCCGTCTGGCAGTATGTTGAAAAGGACTTTCTACGATTTCCTCCTTCACTTCTCGAGTCAACTCCCTCATGATCAAGGCAAGGGTGGGCAAGGAGTTATCCTCTTCCTCGATTGGCATTGCTCCCGTGAGTGCCCACAGTCACTCATTGCTGCTTTCTTTGAGCACAACATCTTGATCATTGTCCTTCCATCCAAAACAAGTATTTGGTCGCAGCCTTGTGATAATGGAAAGAATGAATTGACTGCCATTGATGTTGCTGGAGCCGCTCACAAGCTAGGCCTCTTTGTTGGCCAGTCGCTAGACTACTTGGATGCCAATCGAATCTTCCGCGAAGGTCTGGAAAAGAATTGCCTTGACCAAAACGACGAGTTGAGACGTCGCGGAACAAATGCTGTTGTTAGCAGCTTTCGAAAGACAGGCCTCTACCCCATGGATTACAACAATGCAGGTTGGCAGCTCGCTACTTTCATGAATTTCAATCCACTCAACCAAATGATCAAAGAGCAGAGGAAACAAGCCGGCGAGAGGTTACCCGTAATATATTGGGTTGTCAAACCTATTCCACCTAATGAGAGGGATCCTCTTAGCGAAGAGGAAGAAAATGCCATCCGAAGTTTCATAAACAAAGAAGATTTCATGTGCGGGGACAGCAACAATGATAATGACAACGAGGACAACGACTTGGATTCTTGTTCTTCGGGGGATGGCAGTGGCATCGACATCCCGCCTCTCTTTCTCGCAGCAGCAATTGCTGAGCACCTGCTTGGAACATATCTTGGCAACTCACAACGTGACCTTAACAACCCTCCTACACCCAATGAAGACTACGAAATAGCAGCATTGAAGCTTGTCAAGTTTGTGCCCGTCACCGAAGACGTCCGTGTTGACACAACTTGTAAGCTGACAGCAGAACAAGTGGCCGAGCACAAGCTGCGAACCAAGTTGTCTGTTTTAAAGTTTGGACACTCAATTATTCTCCGAAGAAAGAATGCTCCAGGTGAAAAGCTGAACTTGACAAAGCAGAATCGAAAGCAATTCATTGTCCTCGACAATGACAAGAGGGAGAGCCGACAAATGATTCCAATGACAGTTCAGCAAATCTTAGAGTGCTGCTATGATGGCGCTGATGATGAGTCTTACACTCTCACAAAGAAAGATAAGAGAAAGGGCCAAAAGCAACAAAGAGTGGCCCGGAAACGCCTGAATGAGTCCATGTATGAAGCCGCGATCGATGAAGGCGACAGCCAGAGACACGATCGCAACGTCGAAGAGATTACACGTCGGTTGAATGTGAAGCGGCCTCGCTTTGCGCGGAAGCTACAGACGATTCTAGAGGAAGAAGATATGGAATGGTCCGACCTCTACAGTGACTTTGACGCTGTCTCAATGTTGCCATTTACCAGTGTGGTCAACGTGGCACAGCAAGGTGTTGAGAAGGAAATCACAGTATCTAGAGTTGGATCCGATGTTACTGCAGTGGGCCACTTGATGCAGACAACGGTAATGAGGCTAATGGTCGAAAAGAATGCAAGAGCGAACGCCAATAGAGTCAAACGAACTCGAAAGCGATTTGCTGGTACGTTGACGAACCTAGGCAAGTCTGGACTTGTGTCGGGTATTCTGCTGCAGCGGCAACGCAAGGAAGAGCAACTCAAACAGGCGAAAAACACAAGAGAAGACAGCTTCAGAGGACGTTGAGAAACTGAAAGCGCTTCTGTTAAAAGGAGAAGAGTTGAAGAAAGAACTCCCGAACGATTATTGGAAGTGGGATAAAGTAAAAGGATGGCGTCGAGATGTCTTAGCCAAGATTATGGGTGTCTACAAGTCGAAATCAAACGTCACCGAGCTGAGCGAGGCATTGAAAGCCTTGGCTCTTACAAAACCAGTTGTGGAGTCAAAGCTAACGGAGCTACAGAACTCTGTTCATCAAATGACAAAGGATCTCTCATCCATGGTTGCACAACGAAGAGAGAAAGAAGACTTTCTTGATGACACTGCAGAATACGTAGAAGGCATTGGCAACAGGAACAATGATGACAATGATAGTGACGACGACTGACTACTAGAACGAGGCAACAACTGTCGATGCAAAACTACACGTAACTGGTGGCCAAATAATAGTTTCTAATAGTATGATATTTTACTGGATCTGTTGATTGAATTGTCACTGCTGTGAGCTTCATTCGTTCGTAAATAGTGGAACAAAAGCTAGGTCTCGTTGCTTGTTGTTGATTGTCTAATTCTGCACGTTCAATGCCACTGTTTTGCATAGAAGATTGCCGCAGCTAAAAGACGGGATGGCTCTTCATCACCATTGACAATTGGAAGCAACATCTTGACGCTATGAACGTCGCCCTCAGCGAATGTCATATTCACAGAAAGAGCTTTGTGGGTTCCATGTCTGCTGGAGTTAACAATTGGCTTGCTCATCTCCCAATCGGTGGTCGGCAACACTAGCTCAGAGTACTTCTTGTTTGGATCCGTGAAGGCTTGCCCGTCAATCTTTGAATTTTCCATTCGGAGCATGTAGACCAAAGCGCCTTGTTCCTTGTTGATTCCGTCATCTCGCACGAGGAAGGAAAGGTTGCCTTGGACGTGCGTCTCAGTTGCCTCAGATCGAGAGCCCCACGTAACACGCATCGACGCCCTGGAGCCGACTACGGTCTTGTCCTCAGTGACAGTTGAGAGAGTTTTCCAAGTTGTCATTGTTTCAATAAATGAGAGACTCGCTTTGGTTTGTTGACTTTGCTTAGCGAGTTTGCTTTGGTTTGACTTGATTTGAAACTTCTTCCCGCCAACTCCAAGTCTCGAGAAAACCTCAATATCCCGCTATCCCGCCAAAAGTCAACCAGCTTGCTCTGGCTCTCGCTCTAGCTTTCCTCATTTTCTCACTTGCTTGAGTTACTCACTTGCTTGACCTCTCAGCCACTAGCTCACATCATGTCAAACATTTTCCTCTCTGGTTGGATGACGTCTGCTGCCGCCAAGGCCGTGCATGATGCCCTTGAAAACATCGGAGCGGAAATCAAGATGGAGGGCAATGTGATGACTGTTGCTTTCAACCCCGAAGAGAAGGCCAAAGCCAAGGATGATGATGTTGACAACGTTGCTGCCCAGATCAATGAATTAGATGTCAACGGAGAGGGCGAAAATGATGATTCGAGTCGGACCACACTCGGTTCCTTCTCGGAAGAAGAGGAGGTTATTATCCCAGAAGTCAAGGCCAAGGCTTACAAGAAGGCTCCCAAGAAGTATGATTCCGATGATTACGACGACGATGGCTGCTTTGACTCTCAAGATATGGCGTGGTGAGCTGCCGTTGTTTCGTCATTGTCAGCTTTTCAGTTGTCGGCTCTCCAGTCGACTGCGCTGGAAACAAGGAGTGCTGTCAAGGACTAAGGTTCGAGTTTGCAAGTAGGCCACGCAGTCACACATTCGAATCTTCATGCTGGATATGAGCATTCCAAACATAGTTTTTCTTCGAAATGAATATAATCATAATATCTTATTCGTTATTGTGCCAGTTTCTGCTTAGAGGACGGACGCACCTCGCACCTAGTCGTACTTAACATTCGGACGCAAAAGAATTAGAGGGATATCTCGTGCTATTTTTCTTGATTGCTATTCTAACGCGGATGCCCCATACGAGTTATGCTGCGGCACCCGGCACTATCCAAAACAGTTCCGTATCAATCGAATCTGTCCGTGGCAATCGAATCTGCCAGATGCTTTGAGAACACTACCGCACTACAGGTGGTGGACTGATGTTTAGAAGCTTGCATTCGCAAATCATGGTTCAGTTTTTTAATAGCAAACGACACCAGCTTTCTTAGTCTCAATTTGGATACTTAAGGAGAACCAACTTTCAGATCTCTACTAGCTAGACCTAGCTAGCACCATACACATGTATACAGCAACCGGTGTCTTACACCAGTTCTGTTGAAGAAGCTTCCAAGATTTTGCAAAGTGTGGAGCCAAACCTATGCATCGGTAACTTCCCTACCGGTACCGGTACGGTGCCCCCCCCTACGTAACACGCGTCGCTACCCGCGATTCGGTTGCTTCCAGTCAAGCTTTGGATCAGAACACCACACCGCACACGGTGAAAACACCGGGTCCTGCATTATCACCCCTGCGTTTAGAAAACGTTTCTTGCGGTTCCATGGGTCGCACAGACGACGGCTATCCCTCCTACGGTACCGGTACCGGTAGGCTAGCTTGACGATGTCACTTGGGTGCAGCAGATAGCTGGCTGTGCTGGCTGCATTGATACCAGTACTTGACGGCGACCAAGCTGAAACATTCAGAACTGGGACATGAGCATTTGAAATGCACGGAGTTAGGAGGTCGGGCAAAATTGGATTGGCAAATGCCCTGGCTAGATCCCTGGCTACCTGTAGATTTGGTTCAAAGAGCAGCTGCCAACCAAGGCAACCAATCCCTGCTTGACACCCATTGAGGCTAGTTTGTGGATGCGGTAGCTACCGGTACGAGCTACTATCCGCCACTCGCCAGAAAATCAAAATGTTTGAATTCTATCCTGACTATTCTTACTACCTGGTACACCGTTGCTATTAGTAGCAGCCAGCTATAGTGATAGCTATTTCCCATCTGGTCCTTCATAGACGGGATCACCTGGACCTCGGTAGCAATCCAGGGGTGATCTTTTACAGTCGCTGCCATAATATCGACCCGTGGGAACAGACTCTAGGTCTTGGGACATGAGCAACCACACGGGTGGAACCGCTCCTTTGGAGGGCGGATTTGACGCCCCCATGCCTTGCGTCATGTCCGTATTGATGTATCCTGGAGTGACAGCATTGATAACCAAATCTGGATGATCCTTGGCCAGTAACCAAGTGTAGGCACTGACCAATGCTTTGCTGAATCCATAGGAATCACCATTTCGACAATGCGTGGGTTCGCTTGCAATCTCGTCCAACTCGTCCAGGCCTCCTTGGATTGTCCATGGCTGCGATAATTTTTGGCACAGTGCCGGATCGGGACAGCCCGACACGAAAATGGGCCCCGAAGCCGACGCAATGTTGACAATTCTTCCTCCTTTGGGGATCATGCTTAAAAACGCGTCATTGACCCGACGGGGACCAAAGTAATTGACATTGTTGGATTCTTGAACTTTGCCGCGCAGTAAAACTCCAGCATTGTTGACAATGCCATAGAGAGAATCCGTGTATTGTTTTACAATTCCCACAGCTTCTTGGACCGATTCGTCCGATCCAGTGTCCAGTGGAATCATGGTCAGTCGACCTTTGCCTTTTGCCACTTGCTTTTCAATATCCTTGACGGCATCTTGACCTCGTTGCACATCGCGACTGCACAGAAACACCGAGACGTCGTCGTGTTCTTCCAAAAGCTTTTGGCAAATTGCCCTGCCAATGCCCTTATTGGATCCTGTGACGAGAATGTACTTTTGACCATCTTGGCTGTTTGCTCCTGCTCTTAAACCGCTTTGGCTAGCAGGAAGTTTTCGCGGGGGAAATCCATGGGAAGAGCTCGACATTAGGAAGATTGACAGTAACAGTGCCCACAGGTTCATAACTTTAGAATCCATAGATCTGTCTTCTGACTGACTGACTGACTGACTGGCTATAGCATCAACGAAACTCTTTCTCTTTCTCGGGTCCTCTGATGCTGTGATGCTGTGGTCTGTGCCAAAAGATTGCTGCCGTGCTACCACTGCAAGGTCACGAAACGTGACTAACAACTTAGTTTCACCGTTTTCTTAGTTTCACCCTTTCTTAGTTTCATGGAAATTCCCGATTTCCGTGAAACTAACTCAAAACGGTTAAACTAACTCAAAACGGTTAAACTAACTCAAAACGGTTAAACTAACTCAAAAACGGTGAAACTAACTCAAAAACGGTGAAACTAACTCAAAAGCGTGAAACTAAGTACAAACTTGTCATAGTAAATCAATGTAAACACGACTGAAACGGTGAAACTAACTCAAAATGGTGAAACTAACCCAAAAGCGTGAAACTAACCCAAAAGAGTGAAACTAACCCAAAAAGCGTGAAACTAACCCAAAAGCGTGAAACTAACAAAAGCGTGAAACTAACAAAAAGGGTGAAACTACAGTCAACATTCAGATATATATACTGGGGGGGATTCAGGAATTCAGTAAATATAACAGCGAGAATAAATATTGATTTTATCCCTAACCCTAACTATTCCCGTAGAATTGTACGTGCTCTAGTACTAAAATAGGGTTAGAGTTAAAAATGTGGGAACTGGAGTATTCTTAAATATTATAGAGCGAATAAATACAAGATTATAAATATAAGCGAGCGTTGACTGTAACAAAAAGGGTGAAACTAACACCTTCTAAGTCCCGTTTCGGGACCTTGCTGTGGAATGGTCGGCTGTTGAGGTGCTTCAGACCCACGACACGTCATTGCGGCGGAACTGAAAGCGTGGAGCGTGGAGCGCGTCTCGTGGAAATCGTGGTTATCCCAGCCTCTTTTGCTGGAGGTCCGAACGTCCTCAATGGATACAATGTCATGTACATGTACCGAACACCCAGTTGGCTTCGACAGATGATGCATCAGATGAACCTGCCACAAATGACCTTTTAAAATAAGGTCCTCAGTAAAGCATTCTAACAGCCAACTGGCCATACCGAGGATAGGCTAGCTAGTAGAAGATCAGCAATCGTACGCCACATCATTGGTTGAAACAACAAAACCTAAATAAAGGCACATGGCTTCTAGCTACCGGTAATACAAGGTAGAAAGCTACAGTCTTTGGTTGAATACCCGTAGCTACCGGCACGGCAAATGCTGCTCGACAGATGTATATCATACCGCTACTTACACAAACATTGCTCTTCTGAAGTGTTCGGCTCGCGCTGTGCTTCAACTGTCAACTACAACGTTGCTTTTGACACAAAAAGCATCTATCTCATCGCGGACCTGAGCGAGGTTTGTTTCTAGCTACTAGCTAGCTACTAGTAGACTAGCTATTGACGTTGTCCAGCCTGCAAGAGAAGAAGCCGCCCTACCAACTGGCAGCTCGGGTCTGGTAGACTTTGCGCGCAGAGTCAGCTGGTGTGAAGTCATTGGTGGTACAGTACCAGGTATCAAGTCATCTCATGCATGAGCCTCTTTGCTAGTGAGCAATGACTGTGTACCTCTTCTTACACGTTTATTTAACGCCATATTACTTCTCTCCACAGTCATCCAACATCCAAGCTAAAACATGGATCAGATTCTTAGGAGTACCGGTCATACTGCTGTTTTAATTAAAAGACATCGTACGACTACCGGTCATACTCGGTAATCCTGGATAAACTGGCAACAGGCTGTCTGCGCACCGAACGGCAATTCTGCATGGTAGCCATGGCCAGCAACCAAGCGAGTCAGTTCGCTGTGGTCTCATTGTTCTGCTTCTCCCACCAACTGAAGAAAGAAACGATCATCTACCGAAAGTCCTAAGTTACTAGTAAAATCAACCCAAATAATGTTTTTCCCTACCAAGACTCTCCTTGTCCTCGCTGCTGCCTTTGCTGTGGCCCATGCTGAGGACCCAGGCTCAGCCGAACGTGGTTTTGGTGGCTTTCGTACGCCTACCACCACTGCCCCGGCTCCCACCTCGGCTCCCACTCAGTCTCCTGTTGCCACCCCCGACAGCAGCCCCACTGTGGATGACACATCCAATGTCAAGGGAGATCCCCACTTCCAAACCTTCGGTGAGGAGAAGTTTGACTACCATGGCGAGTGTGATTTGGTCTTGTTGAAGAATCCTCTCTTCAAGAACATGGGCATGGAAGTCCACATCCGTACCAAGATTACCGACTGGTGGAGCGCTGTGGAGGCTGCGGCTATCAAACTTGGCGAGGAAGTGTTGGAAGTCAATGCTGGCAACGTCGATCAGTGGTTGTGGATCAACGGCAAGCCCAATGAAGAACTGGAAGACAGCAAGTACTACTCTGCCTGGATCAATGGCATGCAGATCCGATACCAACGCAAGGGAGTAAACCGTGAGGTCAACATCTACCTTGAAGGCCGCCCCGAGCGTCTTCAAATTCGAGTCTACAAGGACTTTGTCCGTGTGGATGTCGACCACAAGGTCAATCCCGAACACTACAAGGGAGCGATTGGTCTGCTGGGAAGCTTTGACTTGAATGGCAAGCGTGTTGGCCGTGATGGCCAGACCAAGGTTGCCGACCACAATGAGTTTGGACAAGAATGGCAGGTCCGTGACGAAGATCCCAAGCTCTTCCACTCTTATGAAGGTGCCGTTGTCGCTCCCAACAAGTGCAAGCTTCCCGAGCTTACCCGTGAGGATGTGGAGGGCGAGTTGTTGGCCAAGTCGATGCTTCGCAAGCGCCGTCTAAATGGTGGTCTTTCGAAGGATGCTATTGAAAGGGCTTGCGCTCATGTGCCAGAGGGTGAACGTGAAGATTGCATCTATGATGTCACTGCCACACAAGATGTGGGTATGGCTAGTGTTTTCTAAGCACCTACCTAGAGCCACATTTATGATTAATTTTGACCAGCCACATTCTGGCACCCGTATTATTAGACAGACATAGTTCATAAAGAAAACAGCACTTGTTACCCCAGGACTAACCGGAAAGCTACTAGCTACTACAGCCGTAGCAGCATACCGCGCTCGCATCAGGTGCATCTTTAGGGGTTATTACATGATGCAACAGGAGAGAAGCTTCAGTTATACCGGTATGGTGGCGTCCTGTGGGCGCTTTGACAATTCTAGCTAGCAGCATACGGCGCCAATGATACTGCACCAGCTAGTGTAGCGGAAAAGCACCGCTTCTGCAATCACCGCATTCTACCGGTAACTAGAAAGCAACCAGCCAATTTTGATCCTTCCCGTGGTGGCTTTGTTGTCTGCTATGATTGGGGACGTAGAATCCTTTTTTTTGCATGGTAGTGAAGGTAGACCATACCTCAAATTTAGCGGGACGGTGGCTAAGGTAGAGGACCCAGCCTCGTTTTTGCTTTTGCTCCGAATGGAACCTTCTATCTATCCAGATAGCTAGTTGCTGTCCAGCAACAAGAGTGTGTTTCATGGCCACTTTGAGCCGACACACGTCACATGCTACTACTACTAGTAGCTAGCTAGTGCTCAGCACTTCTTTCCCTTTCAAACGATTCTGGTGAGTACCGTACCGGTCATAGTGATGTTAATTGAAAGACATCTTACGACTATCGGTCATACGTTCGGTTCTGGAGACGTGACAATCCCGAACAAACGACCAAGCCCCTTCGGTTCTCCAAACCAAGCCAAGCAATGCTTGATCTCATGTCATTGTTTTGCTTTTCCCAAAACCAAACTGAAGAAAGAAACCATCATCTACCAAAAGTCCAAGTTACTAGAATCAACCAAAATGTTTTTCCCTACCAAGGCTCTCCTTGTCCTCGCTGCTGCCTTTGCAGTGGCTCATGCTGAGGATCCCGGCTCAGCCGAACGTGGTTTTGGTGGCTTTCGTCCACCCACCACCTCTGCTCCTGCTCCCACTGACCCGCCCTCCCAGTCTCCTGTTGCCACCCCCGACAGCAGCCCCACAGTGGATGACACATCCAATGTCAAGGGAGATCCCCACTTCCAAACCTTCGGTGAAGAGAAGTTTGACTACCATGGCGAGTGTGATTTGGTCTTATTGAAGAATCCTCTCTTCAAGAATATGGGCATGGAAGTCCACATTCGTACCAAGATTACCGATTGGTGGAGTGCTGTGGAGGCTGCGGCTATCAAACTTGGCGAGGAAGTGTTGGAAGTCAATGCTGGCAACGTGGATCAGTGGTTGTGGATCAATGGCAAGCCCAATGAAGAAATGGAAAACAACAAGTACTACACTGCCTGGATCAATGGCATGCAAGTCCGATACCAACACAGAGGTGTCAACCGTGAGGTCAACATCTACCTGGAAGGCCGCCCTGAGCGTCTTCGAATTCGTGTCTACAAGGACTTTGTCCGTGTCGATGTGGACTACAAGGTCAACCCCGAACACTACAAGGGAGCCCTTGGATTGCTGGGAAGCTTTGACTTGAATGGCAAGCGTGTTGGCCGTGACGGCCAGACCAAGGTTGCCGACTTCAATGAGTTTGGACAAGAATGGCAGGTCCGTGACGAAGATCCCAAGCTTTTCCACTCTTATGAAGGTGCCGTTGTCGCTCCCAACAAGTGCAAGCTTCCTGAGCTCACCGCCAAGTCGATGCTTCGCAAGCGCCGTCTGATTGGTGGTCTTTCGAAGGATGCTATTGAAAGGGCATGCGCTCATGTGCCAGAGGGTGAACATGAAGATTGCATCTATGATGTCACTGCCACTCAAGATGTGGGTATGGCTAGTGTTTTCTAAGCATGTAGCCACCCACCACGCCACAAATAACCTCCATAATATTGACCCCCGTATGTATTATTAGAGAGATAGTTCATAAAAGAAAACAACATTGTTACTCCAGAAAGCTAGCTAGCTAGCTAGTAGCAATGCCACACTCTTGTCAGTTCAGCTGCACCTGCCGCATCCCCGTTGCGGGCTTCTTTCCGGACGCAAAGAGAGCAGCCATCGCCTCCGTTGCACGGTAGTGTCCCGTGGGCGTTTTGGTGAATCGAATGTACTAAGTGGCTGACAAGGCAAGCAAGGCTTCTGCCATCACCATCCACATTCCGCATGGCCTCCCTCTCCATGGCTGCCTAGCTAGCTAGCTAGCGGTTGCACCATGACCTAGCAGCTACCGTACCAGCAAACCAGACAAATTCGATCCTCCGCGTCGAGAATTCAATTTGAGGTCATGATGTTGTTTTATTGCGATAGGATGTCTTTTAACAGCTCTGTCTACTATACTGGTACCTACTCTCAGCTCGGACAGGAAGCACGAACCACAACGGTAACGCGCTCCCTCCCCACATTTAGTGAGTTTGCTGCCTCCCACCGCGAAATTTTGAACGAAGGCCAGAAATGACCCACATCAAGCTCTCATTTGTGTCCCACATCAAATGTCAAATGACAGGAGAAAGAGGAAGAGAGAGAGAGAAAGAAAAGACAAGGTGGTAATAATAGTCTCTGTCGCCATCCGCAACTGAGCTACAGTTGCTACTAGCTAGGTTTGGTGGGTCATAAAAATTGAGTATTGTCTCTTTGCACCCAACGGAATCTTTTTCAATGATATGAAAATTAGAAAGACCTGTGGATGAATGACCAGTTTGCTTCTTGGTTGTTTCCAGTCACAACAGTGAAGGCTATCACAAGATGGTGTCGTCCAACACGGCCAACACGGGCATTGCCCAGTCAGAATGGCGCAAGGACACTCCCATCAAACAGCAGCAACAGCAGTCCGCGTCAAGTAATGGCGAATATACAGTTCCGAAACGGCAGTCCACACGAGACTGTCTGTGTCAACTGGGCGAAGCGTGCAGTGGCATGTCGACGGCCTTTGCCATTCTCAAAGACCCTCGAGGATGTTTTGTCCAATTGCCCAAAGACGATGCTCCACTCGTCGAAGCGTACTGTCAGTATCTACGACCGTCCAATGGCATTTCCATGATGTCCAACAACAACAACACGTTATATGTGGCCGTCCATCATTTTGATCCATCCATTCTGGAGCAACAACCCCAGCTGCAAATGGAGCACTGCATCGAACCGGATTTGTTGCCCTTTCCGTCTGCCACCACGACGACGGATGAGGCACAACGCAATTTGCTCGCCGAGTTTTTGGATACGCAAAGTATGGGATGGATCTTGCCGTCGTACGGATTTCATCAAGCCCATCGCGACTTGCGGCATGCCATGCAGCAACGGGTGGCAATACTCCAAGAGGAAACTCAAAAGAAACGAGAATTGCGCAAAACACGACGACGAGAATTGCTCGAAAAATTTGCCAATCGCATGAGTAAACCTCCCACAAAGAAATCATCATCCAAAAGTACTACTACCGGTAGCACCAGTAGCAACCGAAACAAAGTGGCACCCATGCAACAACGAGCCACACGACAAGACAGTGGCATGCCCGACTTTGCATCTTCTTCTTCGGCCCCTCCGAGAACAACCACGAGGGGATTGGCGCCCATGACGGTACGAGAAGACCTACAAGAACATGATGCCTTTTCTCAACAAGAAGCACCACCGACAATGACTCAACCCGCCAAGCGACAAGATAGTGGCATGCCAGATTTTACTTCGCCATCTGTGCCCAGTAGAACGAGAGGACTGGCGCCCATGGTGGAGACTGTTCGAGAAGACTTGCGAGAACACGATGCCTTTGGCATGTCGTCAGACCCACCGATGACACAGCGAGCCACAAGACAAGACAGTGGAATGCCGGATTTTTCCACGGCAACCCCTAGTAGAACAAAGGCGGGGCATCTCCAGCCGTCTGTCGGGACGGTGCGAGAAGACTTGGACGAACACGATACATTTGAGGCAGACGACCACGATGCACCGTCCATACCGTCGGCGACAGCACGCCAGGACAGTGGCATGCCGGACTTTTCCATGGCACTCACAGGACCTCCGCAAAAGACGACCCTGGTACAACACACTCCCTTTGGAGCTCTGACGGAAGAAGAAGAAGAGGAGGAGGAAGAAGATGATGATGACCGTGGAATTGAACTGAATGACACCTTTGATACAGCCCCAGAAGAACATGAAGATGCAGAACTACCAATGCCGCCGCAACGACGACAAGACAGTGGCATGCCAGATTTTGCCGTGGCGGTGACAGGGCCACCCAAAAGATCGTCGTTGATACAACCCAACTTTGAAACCGTCTTTGAAGACGAAGAATCTGAAGACTATGAGAGCGCAGCCGAAGAGGAAGAAGAAGGGTTGGGGTACGAAACGCCGCAAGCTGATGGGCTGGGGTACGGAACGCCGCAAGCAGCCACAAGACAGAATGTGCCTCGTGGTCGAACATCTCGAAGAGACACCGGTGCCCACACAACGTCGTCGTCTTGCATTGCGCCTTCGCGGGGAGTACAACCCTCTGCCACCTTTGACACGTGTGAAGAGGGTGAAGAAGACGCTTTTGATACCATTGAAGAAGGGGACGAAGACGACGAAGATGAATCCGATTTCGTGTCGACGCCAACGAGAGCAACATCCATCACACGAGGGTACTTTTCTCCATCGTCGTCTGTCAGTCCAGTCGTCGTGTCGGAATCGCGCTCCTTTGACAGCAACGATGGGCGAGATCCCAGTCTGTACGCAAGACCATCCAAGCGGGTGAAACCGAGTCAAGACGGTGATGACAGCGAGCAAAGCTCGAGGACTCGAGAGCTTTTTCAACCTAACGATGATATACCCAACTTTCGATCAAACAGCAGCTCCGCATCGCCTCTCAAGAGTCCCAGCTTTCCACCACCACCCAACTTTATTAGCAAGACCATGGCGGAAGAAGAGGGCCGAAAGAGCTTTTCGCCTCCGCCACCACCCAACTTTATCAGTGCAACTATGGCAAGGGAGAAACAAAGACAGAGCACGTTTCCTCCTCCGCCAAATTTCATTAGTGCTAGCATGGCAGAATCAGCGGGGATGATGGTCCATGCTGTTCCACCTGGGGAAGGGGGCTCTGTCGATGTCGCCAAAGCGATTCTTCAAGCACGAAATGCGGCGTTACGGGGTTCCCAAGCTGCTGCGAATGCATCATCGGCCATGAAGCAAGGTCAATTTGTCCCCCCACAGCCACCCAACTTCATCAGTGCAAGCATGGCCAAACAGAGTGTATTCCCACCACCACCCAATTTCATCAGTGCTAGTATGGCTGAAGAAGAGGCCAGGAAGAAGCTGTTTCCACCGCCACCTAACTTCATCAGTGCAAGCATGGCCAAAGAGTCCGGCTCGACTCATGCATCGCCTGCTGTCGCAGCTCTTCCTGGAGATGCTGGTTCTGTCAACACAGCTATGGCTATCCTAGCAGCTCGAAACAGGAGTATGGCAGGGACGAAAGGTGGGCCTGTAGGGACAGGTAGCACCCAAATGCAGACAAATTCGACAGGCTTTATTCCTCCCCCAATGCCCAACTTTATCAGTGCGAGCATGGCAGAAGAAGCAGAAGCTCAAAAGAGAAGTATGTTCCCTCCTCCGCCAAACTTTATCAGCAAAAGCATGGCTGAGGAAGAGGAGAGGGAAAAGTTGTTCCCACCACCCCCCAATTTCATTAGTGCCAGCATGGCAAAGGAGGCCGGATTGGATGCATCTGCTCCTGGATCGATGGCCATTTCTGGGAATACTGGCGACGTTGGCACAGCTATGGCTATTTTGGCTGCCCGGAACAGAGCGAAGGGAAGCATAGCAACTGGCGCTCCAATGCAGGCACAGTCCAAAGGTTTTGTTCCGCCCCCAATGCCAAACTTCACAAGTGCAAGCTTGGCCAAAGAAGTGGAAGCCAAGAAGCTAAGCTTGTTCCCCCAGCCACCAAACTTTACAAGTGCCAGCATGGCTTCCCAGCAGGCAGCCCAAAAGAGCTTTGTGGCTCCTCCTCTACCAAACTTCATCAGTGCGAGTATGGCAGCAGAAGCCAAGAGGAGCGCGTTCCCATCGCCACCCAACTTTATTAGTGCGAGTATGGCATCCAGTACACCACGCCAAGCAACAACAGAAGAACCAGGTTTTCTGACGTCTGCAATGCAGATCTTTGCGGCCAGAAGTGAAGCCAAGGCAGCATCCGCAAAGCAGGCGGAACCGAAAGAAGAGTTGGATGATTTTCGTTCTCTCTTGAAGTCTTCAAAAATAACCGTGGAACAAAGCGACGATGAGTTGTCCGACTCGGGAAGTGAAGAACACGAGAGATGCATTGGTATTGAGGAAGACGACGATGTTTCTGCCTTGGGTGAAACATCGCTTTCCGACCCAGGACGTCCAATATCATCCATAAATGGGGATGATGACATGAACGTTTCTCAGATATCCGGTTTATCTGCTACGAAAGCACCCGAGGGGGATCCAAAATTCTCGAGGTACAACCTTAGACTGAACGTTGGAGTCTTTTGGGGAATTATTATACTCCTTTCAGTGACCAACCTTCACTACGCCAACGAAATTAAGATGCAGAAGGCCTTGGAACGAGGGACGCTGAAGGGTCCCGCAACGGTGCCGACTGAATCACCATGGGAAAGCGCTCCTGGTGAAGACGTTGGGAACCTGGAGACTTTGTCACCCAGTGCCTCTCCTCCGCCCAGGCGGTCTTGGCTCTGGGGAAGGTCGCCTTCAATGGACTTAACGGAAGATGAAGTGGACGTTCTCACACAAGAAATGCTTGATAATGCTGCCGCGGACACCTCTAACGGTGTAAACGTGGATCCTCCGCCAGATGTTCCCAAGGCCTCTTCGTGGTTCTGGGGCTCTTCCAAATCAGCAAAGAATGTGCAGACAAATGAAGCAATCGAAGATGCGGCTGGAACCGGAGAGATCACTATTCCTGCAGATGAGGGCACAGCTGTACATCAGGAAATCGTTGAAAAGGATTCAACTTCCCAACACGAAGTTTCCGCTGAAGAGACAGCCGCTCCCAAGTCTTCCTGGTTTTGGGGAAGGTCTCCCAATCCCGCACCGGGCGAGGACGCATTGGATGACTCAGAACCTACAGCTGCTGTTGAATTAGACGCAGAGGATGGTACCGAGGTCGATAAACCCGGTCGTTTGGAGGATCCTGAGAGACCCGAGGATATCGCGGAAAAGGAAACTACCAAGCAGAAACCCTCCAAGTGGTTCTGGGGTTCATCACCGACGCCCGCATCTTCTAACGTGGAGGGGCAGCTAGAGGGCTCGGAGCGGCAAGCAGAAAGTGTAGGTCAAGACGAAATCTTTGACAGAGAGCACCTTGCTGATACATCGAATGCTGCTTCGGAAGCAACTGCTACGGAGACCACAGATTCTCTTCCTGAAGATCCTACCACCCAGGCTTCAGCAGAAAGTGTAACGGTTTCTCCCGAGGATTCTCCAATCAAGGAAAAGCCGAAGTCGTCTTGGTTCTGGGGCAAGTCACCTGCGCCGGTTCCAAATGAAGAGAACAAGGACTCTGTCGATATCACGGAGGAAGTTCCCTCAGCCGAGGACGTTGGACTGCAGGACGAAAACGATGCTGAAACAGAGATTGGCCAAGGAGAGCCCACTGAAGATACCAGCAACACTGACAGTGAGGTCAAGGCTGGCATCGAAGATGTGGCGGAAGACATCTTTGAAGCAAATGGCAATTCAGCTGCAACAAAAACCAACGAAGAAAAGGCTCCAACGTCATCGTGGTTTTGGGGGAAGAAGTCTGCTTCTACTTCACCAAAGGAGGATTCCGAAGATGTTGCCAATGAAAGCACGAACATCAGTCAGGTGGGACTTGGAGACGTTGTCGCCGATTCCGAACATGCTGCAACGCCGCATGACAACGTATCTGCGAATACTTTGGGCGATATGGAAACACAAGGTTCGAGTGAAGAAATGTCAAGTGAGGCCTCTGCGGACGTTGAGGGTGGCAAGCACTCTTCCTGGTTTTGGGGCGGAAAGGCTTCGAAAGATGCCAATGATATTGCTCCTGCCACAGCCGCAGGCGAAGTCGAAAGGGACGATTCAGTGGCTGACAGTAATGAAGCTGTTGCTTCTGCGAGCGAAGCAGAAGAAGCGACCGACGGCAAAGAAACTCCCAGCAGCAAGGAAACCACCGCAGAAGAGGAATCTGGTAAGAGTGGAACTGACAACCACGTGGAATCGGGTACTGCTGGTGATGAAACTAAATCGTCTTCCTCGTGGCTGCGGTGGCGGGCGTCTAAACCTGCGGGCGACGATGTGCATCGTGATAGCGGCGCCAGCAGTGTCGTCGACGAAGCCCAGGTGGAAGAAGAAGGAGCTGAACAATCGAAGGGATCAGCCGGTAGCAGCGCTGAGATTCATGATTTTTCGGTTTCCGATGCCGAGGCTGGCGACGATAATGCTGCACAGGAGGAAACTACCGAAGACAAAGAGGGCTTGCAAGTTAGCAACGATAGCAATGCCGAAGTCATCACTGATGCTGTTGGTGAATCGAATACTGATGAAGCTGCCTCGAAGGGCGACGACGGAACAAAACCCAAAAAGTCTTCTTGGCTCTGGGGGAAATCGTCAAGTGAAGACGAGACCTTGAAATCTCCAGATTCTGCCGGCGAGGTTACTTCGGTATTGGAAACTGAAGTAACTCCCACGACGGAAGCAGTTGTAAGAGAAGACGACACTCCACAAGATGACAGCGAAGATGCCCCTGCTACTGATAACGCGAAGCTAGTTCTCGACAGCTCCGGAGATAAAAATGCCGACGCTGTGCCCGACCCCGACGAGGGTGGGAATAAGCGTTCGAGCTGGAGTCTCTGGCGATCAGAGGATTCTTCTAAGACACAGCAAGATAACAGTGAACCTGACATTGAATCTGTAGGGTCCATCGAGAATGTCGGGGAAGCGGGTTCGAGGCCAGAGGGGGTTGATGGGGTGCAATCTGTTCACATCGTGAAGGATGCATCCGTTGATACACAGGAAGAGCATGCCCCATCCATCGACGAGCCACAGCAGGTCAGCGGAGACACAGATTCACCTGGGCATCAGCTTGACTCTAAGGGAGAAGCATCGTTATTAGAAGACCCGAAAACCACCGCTTCCTCGAGTATGTGGCAGCGATTGTGGGGGTCCAAGGATAAGAACGATGACTCACCAGAGGAGGTGCCTGCCCCTGTGGAGCCGAGTTCACCCGAAGAAGGAGGAACTGGGGTTCAATCTGAGTCCATGGAGTCGACAAGTCCGGTAACTACCATCGGCGGCAACCAGGATACGGCTGATTCGGCCACTGGTGAGGGACCCGAGGATGAAGTTGAAGATCTTGCAGCATCTGAGGACAGAGCCGAAGCAGCGAATCGTCCAGTCGACGAAACCGTTGACTCTGCTCCTGACGAAAGTGCGGATTCGACTGGGAAGAAGTCTTCGTGGTTTGGTCTGCGTTCAAGTTCCAGTTCTGTTGCAAGTGAAAGTCCAGCGAGCGAATCTGGGGAGGAAGGAGGGAATCTCGACGAAACCAAGGCAACTGAAAGCACCAGTGGCGTGAGTGGATCGAGCGGATCGAGCGAAGATGTAACCCTCGACGAAGTCGCGACGGAAGGAGAAGGAGAAGAGACCACTGATGTGGAGGATTCATCTACTGCTGTTGGAGCGGCTGCTGAAGATGGAGCAGTTGCTGACTTGGAAAATGTGAATCGTTTAGAAAACGAAAAAAGCACTTCCAAGCGTAGCCTTTGGGGTTACTTCTTCGGCTCCAGTGATGCGACGGGAGAAGAGGTTGTTGATGGCGCTGATCTGACGACGAGCGAAGCACAACCCAACCCAGAAGACTCTTCTTCCTCTAATCAGCCCGAGATTGACAACGCAGTGCAAAATGTGGACTCACAAGTCGCAACCCAAGAAGACTCTAATCCTCAACTTGACGAAAGTGAATCTCATAATGAAGAAGAGATTCCACCCCAACAGAAATTGGAAACCCTTGAAATTGGTCCCACTGAGCCCGAGCAAAGCGAGGAAGCTACAGCCGAGACTACTGGTACCGGCAGAACAGCGGACCAAACTCATGATTCTGGGTCTGTATCTGATGAGACCAAGTCCTCGTGGAGTTTGCGAGGTACTCTCAAATCTTTTGCTGGTTACGTTTACCCACAAACCGGTGCAACGAGCGCAGAGACTATTTCAAAGACTAGTGGATTGGAAGGTGATTTCAAGGTAGGGGGGCTAGCAAAGAATGCGGAGGACGCAGAGGCGCTGGCGAAAATCGTGGAAGAAGCAGTCGATGCATTGGAACAAATCGTGGAAGAAGCAGATGCCTCGACCAGCAGCAACAAGGGACGAGTTGGAAGTGCCGAAACCGAGAGTTCGGCGTTTACTGTCGAGTCTAAAGAACCTTCGTCGGATGCGGAGTCTGCAAAGCCAGAAATGGCTTCAAATGCAGGCATCTTGGGAAAAGGGAAAGGTGTAGCATCCTCTTCGGACAGCAACACTGAGTACAACAAGAACGCATCCAGTTCGTCTGGTCCAGGCCAGGCGGATCTTCTTGGCGAAGGCGAAGAAACTGCCTCGGTCCAGTCTGCGGAAGAGATTCAACCCAGGCGAGGTGAAGACGTGGAAACCACAGTCGCAGAAGATGGCGAGCCTGTGTCCAACGAGGACACAAACGAAGACGTGACGGCCGCTTCAGAACCAATAAAGTCCGAGTCCAAAACTGATTCCGATGTCAAAACTGAAGGCGTCCTGAGTTCAAGCAAAAAAGTTCTCGGGTCTCTGATGGGATTTCGGAAGGATGAAGAGTCTGCCCCGGAAGCGGTAGAAGAAGAAATCGTGGAGCAACATAACGAGGGTGCCGTAGAGGGGACGGATTCGGAGCCACCAAAGACAGCGGAGACCGCCGTGGAGACTCCCGAGGATAGGCAGGCAGAAGAGTCTGTGGATGGTGCGGATGAAGCAACCGTCGAGAAGGACCAGCTTGCAAATACGTCAACCAGCACAAGCCAGAAGATCAAGTACTTTCTGAAACGTGCCATAGTGGCTTGGTACAACTCAGGCTTTGCACTGGAGAGCACGCTCCTGGTGTTTGGAGTGTACTTTTATTGGGGTCGAGTTTGATACTCTACACGTGTATTGTTTATACCCCGCAGCAACGTGGGAGTTGCTTGTATTGTAGAATAATGTAAAAAATGGTTATCACTAATTAGAATAACCTGGAATGTCGTCCGGTCTTGTGGTTCATGTTGTGCTGATTCTTCCATTGGTCAACATGGCACTTCTCAAGACTTGGGTGCTCAGCTTTTGTTGCTGAATAGCTGCCTGCATCCGATCAAAATATTCATGGAGAGGGAAATGAGTATCAGCATCCGCCATGAAGGCGTCACCACTTTTGTAAGGAAGATCACCGAGGAGAATGTTGCGCAAGATGACAGCAAGCTCTTCGGCTTTGCCAATTCGTTGGCTGGGGTTTATCATTTTGGCCATGGCATCCAATCCTTCATCGCTACCACCATTAAAACGTGTAGCCATCTCGGTAGCATATGCGGTAGGATTCACAGCAAAAATGGACAAGGACTTGATGCGCTCATCATCAGACCAGGCAAACTGAGCTGCATAGCACCTGACCAAGCTGTCAACAGCAGCCTTGGAAGAAGCATAAATTGGATTAACTCCTAATGGCAAAATGGAACCAGCACTGCCGGTGATGATAAAAGAGCCACCCTCTCGAAGAAGTGGGGTGCCATACTTGATGCCAAGGATGGCTCCTCGTACATTCACAGAGTATTTACTTAGGAATTACAAAGTACATTCATAGAGTTTCCGACATGGGCATCCTCATTTTTGCCCTCTACTGCAGCATTCAAAAAAATGAAGTCAACCTTTTCAGGTCCACCAAACTTCTTCTCTGCAGCAGCAAAGAATGCTTCATTGGACTCTTGGTTTGCAACGTCCACAGCATGGAAGGTAGTCTTGGTTTCACTAGCAACTCTGGCCCCGCGGTCAGCTCTGCGGCCTCCAAAGAAGACATTGGCTCCCTCACTGCTGAAAAGAGCAGCATTTGCTTCTCCAAATCCACTGGTGGCACCGGTGACGATGACGTTCTTGCCTGAGAGACTCATGGTGATCTTTTCTTTGTGTTTTTAAAAGATTGGTTTTGTTTGCTTGTTTCGATTTGGAAAGTTGCTTTTGTGAGCTCTTCTGCCCACCCACAAGACAACATGCATGTTCTTTGCTTAAGCCTGGCCCCAGCTGGCTTCCGTAGATAATTTCGCTACTCTAAACCTCCTCCCCTTTGTTGCGTGGGGTTGTTGCGTGCATACTAGCTAGTAGCCAGTTGCGTGAGGATGTTGCGCCATGAGGATGTTGGATGTTGTTGCGTGATGAGTGAGGATAGGATGTTGAATGTTGCGTGAGTTGTTCCGTTGTTGCGTTGGCGGTACACCGGTACATGTACGATGATCGCTCAATTAACCACGACTTAGTTAGTTAGAGAACGCGATCCATCCTCTAAATCAATAAATCCTCAGCCCGTATTTTCTGAGACCCGTTAACTTATTAGTAATAAAAATACTCATACTATTAATAGCTAGTACAGTACTCTAGCTAGTATGTCATACTAGTACTCGAGAACTCAAGTATTATTTTAAAAATACTGGAGTACCAGGTACTAAGTAATGGATAGATTCACTACCGGTTGAACAGGTTTGAATGGGGTAGCGACCAGTCGTTTTGCGCGCGGGTAGGTACCGGTACTGTACTTCGCTGACTTCACACCCATCACGAAACCAAGCAAACATGACAATCGACCAGCGACCATGACAACAGCAAAAGCAGCAGCAACAACAACAAACGGCACGGCAGAGAAGGAGCCATCCTTCTACGACGAAGAAGACAATCTTAAGAAGCTATGTGACTTTCTGCGTTCTCGTGAAGGCCCCGGTGTGCGGGAGGCTTTGTTCATGGAAAAACGTGTTCATTATCTGAAAGGTATGCGTTGAACAGAAATGCACTGGAACTGGATGTAGTGTGGAACTCTCTTGGACTCAAGCAATTTGGAACGTGTATCTTTATTGTACTACTTAGGCGAGAAACTTGTGAACTTTCTGGTAGAACCCAAAAAAGGAACGAAATGGCCCTCCAATCTACCACGCTTTGAGAGTCGACCAGAGGCCATTGCAGTGTGCCGAGAGCTATGTAAGGTGCAATATGTCATGCGAGCCGAGAAGAGAGGGAAAGGAGAACTAGGCGTAAGTGTTTCTTCCTTATCAAGAGACAATTATCTCATGATGCAGTCCCCTGATGGTTGTCTTTTTATCGGTTGTCGTGACACCCTTCCAAACATATTTTTAGACGTCTCGAATTCGAGAATTCGATGAGTCTGGCTATTTTCTGTGGGTATATGAGGGAGATAAGACAGTGAGCCACTTGATGACAACTGCCTTGATTATCGGTTTCCTGTTCTGTGTCTGCTTCCCCATTTGGCCAACCTTCCTTCGAGTCTTTGTCTGGTACCTTTCGGTCTCGCTTTTACTCTTTATTTTCTTCCTGATTACGGTTCGAGCCTTCGTATTCCTCTGTTTCTGGATTGTCGGCTTTGAAGTTTGGTTCCTGCCCAACTTGTTCGATGAGACGCTTTCTTTTGCGGACTCATTCAAGCCAATTTGCTCCTTTGAGCCGACCAAACCAGGGCAGCTACCCTACCGATTGGGTGTAGGCATTGCCTTCTTTTCCTTCTGCTACTGGGCTGTCACTCAGCCCTCGGAATTCGATGGTTTTGTCAATGCTCAGGGAGATTTCTTGAAGGATTTGTATGCCGGTACATTGCTTTCGGACATGTCTCAGGAACAAAAGGAGAACATTGACAAACCAAAGAGGCAGTCATTGGATGATTTGTTGAAGTCGTTGGATACTGACATCAATAACAACGATTTTCAAGATGAGGTCAGCGAGGAAGAGAAACTGGAGTCGATGCTGGACAACCTAGTGGATGACGAGGAAGATATTGACGAGGAAGAAGAGTAGAGCATGGAAATGCAATAGGTTGGTGAGGAACGATGCCAGCAGTCAACAAATCGGACGGCAGCGCAACAACAAATCGCAGCGCAAAACGTAATCAAACTACCCCGGTGTAATATTTCTATGAGGGCAACTATTAATTTTGCTCTACCCCGTTTAGTTTGATGTGACGGCTATTTCGTGGGCTGTAATGTAATTCAGCGAGCGAGGAAGTACGGTTGATCGAACACCGAATCCTACCAAATTTGCCCCCCAAGTTTGCTTGCCAATTGCGAGCAATCCAGAAAATGCACCAATTCACAACCTTAGCCCACAAGCTACACCAAAGGAAGTCTCAGCCAGAGTGGACGAGGTCTATGGTGAGCGAGATACGGTACCACCGTAGAAGTTGGCGACCATCCCGACGACCAATACCGTATCGTTGGTGACCTCCTTTGCACGGTCGTGCATTGCATTACCTAAAGAAATGTGGTTTGAAACTCTGTCTAGCTGCAAGCTGTGACACTCTGTAAATGCTGGCTGGGAACAAACAACCGGTGCTATGGTGTGGTACGGACTAGCTAGCTGACACGAGAGGATTCCTTTCCATGTCTGCTGCCTAGCCACCTGGTACCGTATTGGAAACTATTAGAACGCACGAAATGTGCACCCTCGTTGGACAAGCGATGGAACATGTAGATGGTAGACAACAACACAGCCGATATCCTTGGGAGTTCGAGTAGTGATCCTTTGCTTTAGCTCTTAGCTACTTGAGAGCAAAGTAATTTTTGCCGTTGAAACGGCACGCCCCTCGCACCAAGCCACCAGCATTACTCCTGCTGGATGACACGTCTTTCCGACACACGTTCGTGTCCATCGTTATTTCCCACTCCCGCCCCCCACCTGTCCAGCCAGCGAATGCTGCCTTCCCGATTGAATGGATTCGACTGACTCTGATTCCATTCAATTGGAATGAATAGCATTCATACACGAACCCAATCATGTCCAGGCACTATCATATGAGCTGCATTACGTCCCTCCGTTGTTATTGTTGGGACGCGTCACGGAAGCACTCGCCGCCGCCGGTTCGGGCGCCGAAGATGGTGCCACTGATGCTGATGATGGACACTCGCAGGTAGTACACCCGCACAATTGCGTGGGTTCACAATCGAATTTGAGACCGTTTTGGAGGGCACAGAGTGTCTCGGGAAAGGTTCCCCGTAACTCCGTGTTGCCTTGCAAGTGCAGCAAAATGAGTTGTTCCGTGGGGAAATCGTACTGGTCAACGTTGCCGTCTAAAAGATTTCTGGCCACGAGGAGTCCTTGTAGATTGTTTAGTGTTTGCAGTTGACTGGGGAGTGTGGATGTGAGCCTATTGTCGCTCAATAGCAGCCGTGTCAAGTTTTGTAGTTGTCCCAACTCGGACGGGATGGGTCCCACAAAACGGTTTTCAAATGCCATCAAGGCACTCATGGCTGTCGAACGAACGAACGAACGAATTATTCAATAGAAAGTGGTCAGGAACGCATTCCGTATTGGACTTGTCACTCCCACAACTACTTACAGCTGGCCAATCCTAGTTCGGTGGGCAGCGTCGCCGTCAATTGGTTATTGTCAATTTGGATATCCTCCAAGCGTGCTAAACTCCCCACTTCCGAGGGCAAGGGTCCCGTGAGGGCATTGCCATATCCTTCCCAGATTTTCAATTTCGAGAGGAGTCCAATTTCGGTCGGAATCTTGCCCACAAATTGGTTGCTGTATAATCCCAAGCCAACCAATTTGGAGAGTTGAAACAATTCCGTGGGCAACGTGCCTTGCAATTGCAGTGCGGACAACCACAATTTTTGCAAATTGGTGAGTAATCCGATCTCAGTGGGGATTGTCCCGGCGGTGGTACCTTGAGTCAAGTCCATGACTTGGAGGGAACTGTTGAGATGCAACAAAAAACAAAACAGACAAACAGAATGGCGTCAGATAATAATTAATTAGAACTGCAACGATACGATACGTTGCACAATCAATCGGATACAGTGCAGTACGCACGTCAAGAGTCCCAATTCGGGTGGGAGCGTTCCTCCCAATCCATTGTTCCAGGGTGTCAAAAAGATGTATTCGAAATTGGAATTGCAGGGAAATAGATTGTAGTCGGTTTCGTATTCGGGATAGACCCGGGAATCCCCCAATGTGTACCAGGTACATTCTTGTCGATCGCGTCCGTAGTGCAACCAATTTTGTTGTTCCCACTGTTCCCCGTTGGTGGCATAATACAAAGTGGCGAGGGCAAATCGTTGGAGGCGTCGGTTGGGTGTGTACGACTGTAGAAATGGATCGTTTCGGATCCACTGGTACGCCCGGGATTGTGGCGATGTGGGATCGTCTTGGATGGCGTCGAGTGTGACATTCCAGAGTCCTTGGAGTAGCATTTCGGGTGGGGGACTGGGTTTAGGGTTGGTCGGAGGAGGAGGAGATATGCCAATGGTATAGATGGGAGCTGGAATGGGAAAGGGAGGAGGATTGTTGGGCGTTTGGACTTGTGGAGTGTTGGTAGTGGTGGAAGTAGTAGACGTGTAAGTACTTGTAGTAGAAGGTGAAGAAGAAGCCGCACATCCGTGTGCTTGACAGCTGATTCCCACGGTAAGTCCAATGACGAGTAGACAAAAGAAGCAGAGACACTGCATCTGTGAGTAATTGCTCTTGTCCTTGTCAATAAAGTCGTCGTCATCTTCAACTTCATCCAAAAATATTTCTCGATTCGTCGACGTCACCGCCGAATGATTGGATTCTTTCATGTCCATGATTTCCATGGGACTCATAGGATGATGATGATGCTGATGATGATGTACTCGACTACTAGTAGACCTAGTAGTATCCTTGGTGTGGTTGGAACGAGACGAAAAGGAACCTTCCATCATCATCATCATCGCACCACCACTACTGCTGCGACTCGCGACACTGGAAGAATGAAGACCTCGCTTGTGGTGACTCTGCGGACTGGTGCTGTGACGGCTGTGGTTGCTTCGGTAGACTTCCATAGCGCTTCCTGCTACCAGACTGCCTTGTTGTTCGTCTTGAGCCAAGGCTTGTCTGGAAGCCAACGAATGCTGACTCCTCTTGTCCATGTCCAACATGGTGTTCTGAAATGGCTCTGGAATCGCAGTCGAAGACAGAACGGATGATGCTGATTCCGATACGGGCAAGGCATCATCTTCCAACGACGAGGATGCGGGTGCTACTACCGGTACTACTGCAGAGTCTTCGACCCGAAGATCCTCCAGATCGTCCACATCGATGGCAACCCCCGACATTGTTGATGAATAATAATAATTCTGATACAGTACGATACAGTACGGTTGGATCGACTTGGACAGCTGGGCTAGCACTACTAGCACTGGACTCTGTAATAGGAAACACAAGAAGGGAGACAAATAGATGAGGGAAGCTGTGTTGTTGTTGGCTAGATCGCTATGCTTTAGAATGCCAACAATCGCTCGATGGTCAATGGTTCAAAGTCGATGGTTTGGGTTTGCTGCTCAGCTGCCTAAGCGCTGCGGTACTGGTACCGGTACAGGTACTACTAGCTAGTAATAGTACGGTAGTAACTCTGTGCTGTAAAATCCAAATCGATTTTTCTATTTATTGCAAATGCCAATGTGTCGTGGCTCGCGTTATCAAAGCTCCACATGTTGCCAGTTCAGTTCAAAGGGTAATAGGATTTAAAGCTTTCCATCTGTGTCCCTAATCAGGTATTCTCGTACTGGTATGATTTAAGCTCCCTCAAATACGGTGAGTGCATGCACGTACTACTATTAATAGTACAGGCTGAATCTAAGCTATCGAGACAAACGCAAGCCCGCTCCCGGTAAGACATTCGAATGCGAACCGGAACCTCTTGGAACGTTCCTCGGAAAGACTTAAGGGACATATATAGCCTTAACCTTAAACTCAACTGACATCACTCGCTCGGATCGATCGATCCAAGCCACTCGTACATACTGTACTATTTTTATTAATTAATAGTACACCTTTCATTATTTCGATACCTCTATCTTTACTCTCTATTGACTCTATCAAGATGATGCTACTCCTCTATAGCGACTCCTCTTAACAAAGGCTACTACTCACCACCATGACAGGCTCCTCTTGTTTGGTGGAAGCTAGAAGCAGCGGCAGCCGTTCGATCGTTCGGTCGTTCGAGATTGATCCTCCGTTCGACGGATGACTTCTTTCTTCTTCCACGGAGCCTCTTTCACGGAGCCACCATGACACCTCCTCTTCGAACCGAGTGAGCGAACGGAGCGCTACTACCACAGAGTGAACAAGCGGCTATGGCTAATGCAACAAGGACGCCTCGACAATGGCACGGATCGACGCGACGGATCAGCCGACGGCTGCTTCCTCTTTCACGAAGCGACCATGAGGATCGCTCCCTCCTCCACGGAGCCACGGAGTGGTTGTGAGCCTCTGCTGCTAGTAGAGCTACTACGAATGAAACAATCGGCAGCTTCTCTACTACTACTTGGAGTAATCAACTGACTACTGGCGCAAATGTGCAATTTTTGCCATAGTTTGGGCCAACAATCTCCATTGAATCTTTGAGTTGAGTGCTCCAGTCTTCATGCAGAGCCACCCACTCCTCTATCACACTCTACAGTGCAGATTGAGTGCTGAGAGTGAGGACTGGAGCACCTTTCCCATGAAGAAATCCATGGCAGAATGACAACAAAATGCAATCCAAGCCTGATTTTTCATAGAGGCTCAATAGGAAACCTTAGAGATAGCTGAGTCCCTTCAAGGGGTGGCTCTGTGAGTGTGTTGGGGAGCTAGTCCTCTGACAGACTCAGCTAGAACAATGTAATGCTAGAGCTAGAGACCATTTGGCCAACACTGTTGCCATGGTGGTAAAATTGATCTTTTCTTTGTTCTTTGTTATTCTCTGCTGCTGGTGGCCAACCAGTCATTTTGTCGCAAACCAGCCAGGATTCGCGAAATGACCACTTCCGGCTTCCCATTTCCGGAAACCGAAACATAACCGTCAAAAACGCTCACATTTTACACCTGTCAGCGGTAAAAGAAGTCATCCTGTAGCTACTAGTACCTGGTGGTACCGGTACCTGGAAGGCCCCAGGTTTAGGGGTAGGGTCCACACATGGCCATTCCTCGCCAAATGACCGGAACCCTAAAAGTCGTTATAGTCGCGATAGTCGCGAAATAGTCGCGCGCGACTTTCGTGGAGTCGCGGAAAAGTCGCGATAGTCGCGATAGTCGCGATAGTCGCGATAGTCGCGCACACGATGACACGATGACAATGGCGTCTTTTGCCGCTGTTACTTCCTATTAGACTGTTACTTCCTATTGCTGTAAGGCTGGACGGACCCCTTGCGACTCTTGTCTGGTCTGGGCTTCACTGTCATGGCTTCCTTCTTCCGCTGTTTCTTGGCTCTTTTGGCGGCTGTCTGCATGGGATTTTCACCTTACGGTTTTGCCTTTTCTGTCATTTGATCGATGCGCTTTGCAAACCTCTTCTTGCCGAATGGCTTATACTCCGGCCTTGTTTCAAAGAGCTCTCCAGGTCTCATCTCCTCATGAAGCATGTTGCCCATATCTTCATCAAGAAGCTCAGCAGCCTTTGAACCTCCCCAGTTGGATCATGAGTTGGAAATCCGTACTCGTTCCTGGCCTCTGCAAGACACTCTTCATCATATGATTTGGCCCATTTGAGGCGCCGAACAACGGTTTGAATCCGTGCAAAGCGAGTTCTGTATCTCTCTAGATCCCAAGGGAAGTCAACAAATTCAGGTTGATGTGCATAAAGAGTGTTGTAAAGGTGTTCAACATCCTTGATTTTCTCATAACTGGAACCAATCCATCCAGCATGTCCTGTGCTATAAGTTGCTTGGCTTCACTTGTACCCCAATCTGCTCCATTCAAGCTTGGTGGTGGCCGCTCCTTCTTCGTGTTGGTGGGGGCCATGGTGCTGTTTCCACAATTCCGACTTGACTACACAACGACAACAATCAACCTTCTCGTGTGCGCCCAAATGGTGGGATGCCTTACTTTTGGCTGTTACCTACGTTGGCATGTGAATCATCCGCAAGAATTAGAGAATTCAACGTTGTTGTTTGATGTATAGGAAGGTGGCTCTGCGTGTGGACCGGATGGCTTTAAGTTTTGATGGGTAGCATTCAAATTTGGAACTCCTCGATCCTCTCATTTTCTCCACATTTCGAAGCTCACAATGCCAGAAATTCGAAAGCTAAGAAGCAAAACCATTACGACTCCCAGCGATTGCCTTGACTGTGACGCCGAGTTTGGTGGTGCCTGTGAAGATCCCTTCTCGGTAAGTCACTCAATTGCAATGGGAAAGATAAAGACGGAGAAAATTGGGGAGGATGCCGAGTATGCATGCGATATGGATTTACCGCCTACAGGGATCGAACTTGCAAACAAATACCTCTTGCTCACCAAGCTCGATGAAAAGGGAGGACCCAAGTCTTGCAATCGACAAAACAGACTACTGAATGACCTGTGCTATGATTATCCATTGCAACTTGGTGTGAACGGATCCATCCGACGGCAGCGGACGAAATACCTCGTTGATCGATGGAAACGAGATAAAGATTTCCACAACACACGCAATAAGTTTCTGGAAAGGATCAGTTCCAATACCCAAGTAGTGGACTGGGGCTCGCTGAAACCCTTCCTCAGGGACAGCGGTAGTCAGGCAGTTCAGTGCAATACACGGCTCTTAGCCTTATTCGCGACTCGATCCTAGATAGGGTTTGAGTTCGACTCATGACTGAGTTCTTTCGTGAATAGTCATGAGACAGGGTTCTCATGACCGCTAGTCATACTAGGTCGATGGTGAAACATCGCGCTAGATATTTAGCTGGCGTGAGAGATTCCACGCTACTAGATAAATGCTAGACGAATCTTCACGCGTTCCGTTTTTGGATGTGAAGTGAGTAGGATTGCTACCGCAACCTACCTCTATCACACTCTACAGTCTCCCGCGGGAGTTCAGATCTACGATCCTTTGATTGTGGATCTTCTCGTCGATTAGTTTCATAGCTTTCTAATCCTCTCATAACTTTCATTCTCTCAAACTCAAAACACTCGAAAGATCTTTACACTAGCTTTTAGCGTAGTGCATTTTGTTAAAAACACAATAGCTTTCAGCTACCCTCAACCTATTCCTCACCATGAAGATTGCAAAAGACGCATACACCAGCTTCGAGTCTAAGCTGCGCGACAAACCAATCCTTCCTCTATCGACCTCAACGATGATGCGAAATCGACGATTCTCGCTCTACCACCTACAAACTCGCACTGTTCCAGCAGATGCTAACAGCGCCAAGTACACCTTCAAGGTCAAAACATCAATGGATCTGAGACTCCACGTCAGACCATCAAGTGGGCTGGACGCATGAGAAGGTCTTCGTTGGCTCGCCATTCTACGCCTACCGACAAACATAACCTCCTCAAGGAGATGACTTCTAGCTCTGAAAGAGCAGTTACGAATCTACTGTGCAGGCCACCGTGAAGTACGTTGGAATGGCCTTGCCCAGATTGCAGTCAACCGATTCCTCCACGGACGTACGTGGTGGTGAAAACGAAGCCACTTTCCAAGCACGTTTCCAGGCTGCCTGGAACGGAGCAGCTCAGCCTGCTTTGGACGACCCTGACATTACGTTTGGCTAAATGCCTGTATCGAAGCGGTCTGTCCCTACAAGGCTCTTGAAAGCAGAAACGCTTCATGCGGCAAGATGCGTAAGCCTCTGATATGTCTACTCGGGCTTATGTCAACAACCTCAGTCGGATGAACACCAATGAACTTCCTCGTCTACACACCTTTTGGACCAAACCAAACGTTGAACCATGAGAAAGTCATTGACATTGTTTGTCATGGAATTCCACGCTCGTGGATGAAGAAGATGGACGAACACGACTTTCGATCCTTTCTCAGCTCCTATCGGAGAAACCATTGGATTCTGCGAACCATGGAATCCTCCGAAGACTTTGACAAGGGCGGTGATGCCAGCAAGCTCCTACGAAGAAGAACAACCAGCAAGAAGTACAAGTCTACTCGCACAACGACCACTCTTCCAAGAACGAAGATAAAATGTGCGACTACCACGAGTCCAGCACTAACAACACTGCTGCTGCATGACTTTGAAAGAAGCTCAAGGCCAAGTCTCAGTCCTCGTCTGACAACGATAAAAGCCAGCGTACAACAAGAACCAGACTTGGAAACGCAAGTCGACGACGCCAAGACCTACAACAAGAAGGAACTCTCCGTCCTCATGAA